GATAATAATAATGAATGGATAGATTAATATTAATTACGCACCTACTATAATTTACAAATGATTGAAACCTTCATATCTTCCAAATCTTTTATCAAGGAGTCCTTGACAGGGACCATTAATCCTCAGCGCACAAAGTAAAATAACTTAGAAAGCAACTCGTTTGAATTTTAATATTGATAAACCAACATTTTCGAAAAGTCATTTGACTAACGATTAACTCGAAAAAAATGTGGTTTGAAAAATAAGTTGATATTTCCACAAGCGTTTCTAATATTTCACAATAAATCTAAATATTTTATATACCTACTGACCTTATACTTAAAAATTCCATAATTCGTAGATTTAATAAGTGTATAATTAAAGGAAACAATTAAAGAAAGCATTAATTAATCATGAATAGTACAATGTCTCAATAATCGAGGAATTATATTTAAACATATTATTCTTCACATCTTACAGGAGTGATCGTTTAGCAGAGCACCAAAAATAACTTTATAAATTAATTTAAAACTTCAGATTTTTTGATTATATTATAAAGAAACATTTATTTTCACTTAAATTTAAGCATTCAAATACAAGGCTACGTCGACATATGATTGATGACCCGATTTATGCTCAAGAAAAATGTTCTATTGCTATTTTAAACGACCCCTGCCATCTCTATCCATGCCTAATGCACTGTTTCCATTTTGTAGGCTGTTTGTGTTAGGGCTAAAAATTGGCTATTCAGGACAAATAAAACACTCATTGTGAAAGCGGCTGTATTTACTGAATGGTAGGAGAAAAGGGTAATCGAAGTGGTGCTTTTTGGATTTAGACGCATTTGAAGACTATTATCTCGTTGAAAATATATGTTTGAGACCCACAAGTTATTAAAAGCCTTTATAGCCAGAGGGATATATGTCGTTTCATCATAAGGTCCGACAGCATCAACCGTTGGGTAGGAAAATCCCATTTGATTGCTGATCGAGTCAAACGTATCATCGTACGTGCTCAACGTTTTGATTGTGGAGTGTAGAACATAAAAACTTGATTTTGTGAATGTCATGGAAACGATAATAATGGTATAGCCGTGTCTTATTACATTTTATATGATTCGATAACAACTTTTTTTTATTTTATTTTATAAAAATTCCACTTTTATAATATTATATTATAGTTTTTTTTTTTTACGTTTAAGGATTTTCATAGTAACATACATTATAATAATTAAGATCTGATAATATATAATATATACGTGTGGGTTATTTTATTTTTGATTTATGCATATTGATGACTATACATATTTAAATGAATTAATTCACGTAAGTTAATACTACATATTTGACTCTTACTTTAAACTACTTTAATATTTTATAATAACTTGACTTTTACTACTATTTTAGTATTTGTAATAATTATTGATTGTACTTTTATATTTATTTTAAATAGATGGGTTTTATATTATGACATCACAATCGTCTTAGTAAACCTACATTTCATACAAGTAGATAAAAGTAAAATAAGCAAAATTTTTTTTAAATTTAATTTTTAAATAAAAATATATTTTTTTTTTACTTATTTTTCATAAATGGCTTCAAATTACAAGATCACCATATTAAAAATCAAACAATAAGGCAAATAAAAATAAACCTATATTATTGGTAAATAAAAAACTTCTCAATATATACTTAAGAACAATAATTTAAGGTTTATGAATCAAGAACTCAAATCTTCTAGTAATATAATAAATATTCCTAAACCATTACACAACCCTGAAAAATATATTTTTAAAAGTGAAAAGAAAGAAAAATATTTAGATACTTTCATTATAAATTTATTTTCTAATATTAAAAATGACCGCAATAAACAAAATTGAATGTTAAAAAAGTTATTCGGTTTGACTTTATAATTATGATTTAATATTGTTATTTATAAATAATAACTATTATAACATATAATTTAACAAACCATAGAAAATAAGAACGAAATATATGAGATACATAAAAAATAAAATTATAGGTTAAGTCCAAATGTGTTACGAAGTATATTAAATTAAACAAAATGCACAAAAGTTTTTGACACAATTTACAAAATTTAATAGGTATTTGATAAAATTTCAACGATAATTAAAAATAAGTTATCTGTTATCGACATTGAACGTTATTTTTCATATATTTTTTTCTTGTTATTTTTAATTTTACATTATAAATTAATATTAAATACTAACCATAATTCTTATTTTTTATTGTGTTTTGTAAAATAAGAAATATTTTAATAGTGTATCACCATATTACAAAGGTTGAGAAACTCTGTTTTAGTAAATAAATGTAAAATAAGTTACAATAAATACAAAGTTAAAAAATAACATTTAAAAATGAATATATTTAACTAATGTATATCTTAATACAAACCAATCAAACAAATGTATCTGTAAGAAGTTATTAATATAATATTTTACTTACACACATCACATTTATAATTAACCAAAAGAGAGACAGAAAATCGTATGTAAAAATAGAAAAAAATTGATATTTTGAAATTTAATTTTCTTTTTTATGTTATTAGTATTTTAATTTTAAATCAAAATAACATTTTTTATATATTATACCTAAAGAGAAGAATTATAATTGATAATATATATATTTATGTGTGTGTGCGTGTGTGTGTTTAATAATATCAAATTATTAGAAAATCATAAATTTGCTCTAATAATCTTAAAGTATTAACGTCAAAAGTGTATAATGTATAGTATATTCTATATACGCAGGAAAGTTTATCGATGTCACATACAAGTATAAGCTTTCAAATGTGCTTAATCGTGTTTTAATATGAAATAAATATTTTTCATTAAAATATCAGATTTAAATTTAAACTTGATTTTATTTTAAAAATTTGATTGCATCTTAAAAGTATATTAAGTATGAAAGTAAGACTCAAGATACCTTTAAAATTTCTTCCGAGTGACCGAACGTAGTAATTACGTTTACGTCGCCTTTCCAACTTATCTCTATTACTTATAGATTTTAAGAATATTCAGAAACACGTTTTTGTACATAAACATAAATATAATCTTTAATTTATTATTTGTGATATAATTTTAACTATACTTATAACTTATATCTTCAATTTTCTATGGTTTTATAGAATTTTAATGGTATTTAATATTTATATTAATGTCACAAAAAAAACTAATAAACATAGATGATAGATAACATTGTATCAGTTATTATTTTTTCTTTATTTAAAGTTTAAATTTAGCTGATACCTCTTATAAAAAAAATATTTTGTTAAATTATCATCAGTTAATATAATTAAGTAAAATAATATTAATTATTTACAAATTCGAATAAGATACTAAGTATGATTTAATACAACTGCATTTGTATTAACACTAATATTAACGAACACGAGTTGAATTAAAGTCAACTTATAATTCAGCTAAAATAAATGTATTAAAGAATGGTCGAAATAAATAGTCAAACCACTATTAGCACAAGAGTTTGACAGAAAATACACATAAATAATTGGAAGGTGACAACTCAGCGTTCCAAGATAAGTGCGACTACTTCAAACATTTCAACGAGACGTTAATTATTGTTTGTAAGATAATTTTGCGATTAGCTTCTTAGTAGGTTTACCACAACGCTCATCGTAAATTATACATAGTAACATTCGATAATAATTATTATAATTGGAATAAATTAATAATTTAACAACACGATACAAATATAAACACGACATCACATAAAAATTAACCACCATAAGTGAATAATGTATGCATACTCACATACTAATAGCTTTTAACTAAAATTGATTATTAGTGTCTCAATTTCAAGATAAGTACATTTCCTTAAAAAAAATGTTTAAAATGAATAAATTCATAATTATATTCATAAATAATTTTACTTTGACTCCGCGGCATATTTTCTTGTTTTTGTGATGAGTTCGTAAAAATATTATTTTTACTTAATTTCATAATTTGAAGATTTTGAAAAAAATAATGGATTTATAATTTATAGTACTATAGCTTGTCTTAAAGGAAATCGAAGTAAATTTTTTAATTTGGCATAATAAAAAGATATAGCATTTATTTTTATAAGCAAAAATTCAATCAATAAAACTGGAATTAACATAAAACTATTTTTAAATATTCATGAGTTGTTTGTTTCATTCAAATAAATTCATAATTTACGTTGTACAAATAATGATGGTTATGTAATAAAAAAATTCAAGTTTTTTTATATATATATATTTTTGTAGGTGCCACTGCAGTTCACACTTTTATACCCTAAAGTGAAATAGTTCTAAAACCATACTCTATACAAAAAAAAAAAAAAAAAACATACATAACTATAAAAAGAAATTGCTTTATATAATGTTTTACCTAATATATAACGTTTTTCAACAAAAAAGTATTATACAGTATAATATTAACTTCTTAAAATATTTTATACAGTTTTAGAGAAAAATAACAACTAAATATCGTACAAAAAACAACTAAAACGTAAAACTTGTTCTTTCGACAAAAGTTATAGTTTAGAATTCTTAGTGCTATATTGTGATTTAGATATTCATATTTTTTATTCACAGTATAAAAGTTTTAAAATAAATTTAATAATTGTGTTTTTAGTATATTTTTTTTTAGTTATTAATTTATAAATCTTTTAAACTATAACCGTAAAAATAATTATCTATTTTTAAAGGTTGAAGTAGGTTGACATAAATGTAAACGTGGTAACGATAAGGTTTCCCAATTAAAAAAATGTAATCAATCATGATGTTTTTCATTTGAAAATAAAGTCCAAATTCGCATTTAAAATATTTTATTTTTCAACTCATCTTTGTTACTTTAAATGTTATAATTTATATTTTTAACTTAATTCAATAGTATTTATATATTATAATAAATTAATAATAATACGTATTATTTATCAAATGAAGTTACTTAGTTTCACTTAGTTTGATTCATAATTTCTTCCTGAAATTAAACTATACTGTTTATAATTTATATGACTTACTCAAAAGAATAGTAATTTAAATATTCAATTCATTAGGCTTATGGTCAACACACGTCTCTGAAAATAAATAAAAACAACATTTTTAAATATTAATATAACACATACATTAAATAACAAAATTATTATTTTTAATTATTCTTAATACAGTTAAAAACTTTCATATTTATAATAATAACGCAAATAAGAATCATAATAAAATCATATTATAAAATCTTATGTAATTAATCAAAAACTTCACAACCTGAAGTAAAAAAATATATTATTCAAATTGCATACTGATGGTGAATAAACCATCACGACATATTACGTATAAAAGAATAATATCATATTCCAAATTATGAATTTGTATGTACATTAGGTAAGTTGAGATAATAAAATACCAACTAAGCCATAATGTATACCGTTTACTGCAATATAAAATTAAGTATTTATCCACATTTTGTTAAGATCAAAACCTTCCAGACTACGACATCTAGTGATGTGATACCTTAATATTTTGTATAATACCTACGTGGTAATTTAATTTAAAAATATACGCATTACAATAATGTTTTCACCGGTGACGGTGAGAATAACCAAAGTTATAGCAGCAGATAGGTAATATTTGGAGAATACTGAAAGGAAGAAAAACAAACTTTATCTTTTCTGGTTGCCAAGTAAATGTAGGACAACAGAAAAACCATTTATTATTACAGTTCTTGGCTCCAGAGTCCAAATAATAAATATTACAATGGTGGCAAACCAGGGGCAACGAGTGTTGTTACCTCTTCCCCGTTCCAGCTACCGATAGTGGTTTGGTGGAGGTAAAGTAAAGCTGTATGGATGGTTGAGAGAATGTCAGACATTTTTGAAACCCAGCTCAGAACTTATCGAAAACTTTATACTGTCGGCTACCGCTCATTTGCTATTTCACTTTCTCTCTTTCTCTACTCTTTCTTATTTTCTATTGTTTCAGATTGTAAATGGACTCTCCAAACGAAATCATCAGCAACGGCAGTATAGTGGCTGTAGGAGTAACGGTTTTACAAAAGGAAGCAATTAACTCAAATTTATTATTTTGAAGGCGTCACATTTTAATTGAAACAAAAACTAGAAGTATGTGTTTGTGTATATGTATATATATATGTGTGTGTGTGTGTGTGTGTGTGTGTTATGTTTATAAGTATGAAATCACTTCCGGAAATAAAAGAACAAATTGTATTACATTCCCTCTTCTTTAATCAGAAAATTGGAAAATCATGAGTATCAAAATGCCACTTTACAAACAAATACATGTATAGTGACATCGATAAAACCTGATTATATTTTTTCTTATTTATTCTAACTCAATTAAAAATAACTTTTATGTTTATAAAACTATAAATCTATTATTCAACTTATTTGAGAAATATTTACGAATACATCACTCCGATGGGCAAAACCAACATTAAGTGCCAATATAGCATATACAATAATATTAATTCTCATTGAATTATGTAGCGGTAACTACTGTGTTTTGCATGACAACACTTTAAAGAATATTAATAATCAAATTATATAAAATATAATACATAAACACTTTCTTTATTATATTTTAAAATTGCACATTGTTAAGTTATTTTTTTTTCTCAATACTAACAGAAATATCATTAATGTCTTATAGTTGGAATTAATCATTTAAATAACAAATTTTTTAAAGTTTAAAAACAAAATTAATAATAAGCTTATATCAATATATTATTCAATGAGAAAAAATTTAAATCATTATAATTTTTTAATATCCTACAGTAATTTACCAGTTAAATTTTAAATTATGTATTTTAAAAAATGTATGTTATATTTAATTATATAAACTATAATTTTAAATCCTCGAAAGGGTTTTTGAAAAAGATAACCTGTTGTTCAAATCATTGTAAAAGCATTATATTTATTTAACTTCTTATACTAAACTAGAACTCATGAATCATACTGATTTTAAACGTTATAAAAATAAAATAAACTTTTCTTTGACGAGAAAAAATTTAGTTTTAATAAATATAAAATATGCGTGGTTTACATACTATAATATTCAAACTATGCCAATTATTTAGCCATCTTTATAAAAACTAAAACACAACATTTACAAAGGATAAATTCTTATATAATAATCTTCATTGTCTTATTATTTTTAATCATATTATAATATCTTGATTTTTTTTTTTTTTTTTTTAACCATTGAATACAACAGTTTTTTTTTTTTTTTAACAAAATAAATGTTTATAATAGTTAAATAATAATTATAAAATCATATAATAATCATCCAATATAAATTCTATCAATCTATTTTCACTCTAATGGCATATCTACTATTACTCATATATTTGATATCATATGGATTATAAATCTAGTTTGATTAATTATAAACAACATAGAACGATATTATGATATTAATAAGACATCGATTTGCTATCAGATTTACTTATTATAACTAACTCATTACAACACACATAAGGTCCTTAATTAATATATACTATTATTATATTAGTTACATACTATAGTGTAATTTAAAGGTCTCAATAATTGAACAGTTAATGATATTATTCCAATAGTTTTCCCTTTGAAAAGCAAATATTATATTTAGGTTATATATATAACTTTCATTAAATATATAAGATCATATAGGATAACATTTTGTAAATATAATACTACTGCATAGTTCAGAAACAGTTACAAGGATTAAAACTAGTAATTTGTTGTAATGTAATAATTTTAAAAATGGAAAAGACAATATTGTTTAAAACAGTACATGATTCAGACAGATATCGATTACTCAATGCTTAAAATTGTAAATTTAATATGACTTGAAACATTTAACCATAACACATTAATAATATTAAGTAGATTTGTCTAATTCTTAAAATATCAATAAAAGTTTATAATCTAAACAATAACGACTAAATTAATAATACGGAAGTAAGTAATAATATCCAATAGTAAATAAAGATGCGGAAAAATGGTATTCCCCTAGATCTTTAAATACGAATTATTTTACACTGTTTTATCAAATATAAAGAAAAATTTACACATAAACAAACTAGTCATTAATCATCGGTCAGAAAAATGAATACTGGAGATGTCCATAGTATAATAAAATTGAAAATAAACAAAACTCAATACTTTAGATTGTGTTATAACAAAAAAAACTACCTTTCAATATAATTAAGTACCTATTTTACTATGATAACTTTTGGTTAAAAACTTATAAAAATATATAGGTATTTAATATCAACTTAATAAGTGCATTAAAAATATTATTCTTTTAAAAAAAAATTTTTTTTTTAAAAGATGACAAATAAAAATTTATTTTTAATACTTTTTTTGATTCTTAATTTATAACATTATACTGTGACGCCGCTTATAAGACTCACGGATATAATAGGCTCATAATCGTCTGAAACGGTCCAGACGTATCCGAATACATTACAAAAATTCGATTATAAGACTCAAATTTTGTAAAAAATAAACATTTTTGATTAAAATTTAAAAATAAATTTGTTTTTAAAAATTACATAAGAAATGTCGAAAATTTACAGAAATTCCATTTCCGGAATATTAGAACAGAATTCAATACAAACAAGAATTACAAATTTTTTTCATTAATAATAAGTATGTAGATACATAATTTATAATTTTTATTAATATTTAATAATTTTTATAATAATATAATTTTAATATTTTAATTATATTTTTTTCATTAATTTATAATATGTATGTATATTATACATATGTATAAGTAGATTAAAATAAAAGCAAGATGATAAAATAAAATTCTTAAGTATTTTATTTTTATTTTCCCACATTGTCTATAAGATTCGTTCGGTTATAAGACTCACTTTGTGTTGGTCCCAAAATGAGTCTTATAATTGGTGTCTACTGTACATTAAATTTATAAAAAATAATTTTAAATAATAAAATTGTGTATAGCCAGATGAGTACTTAACTGTGTTGTATTCAATTTAAAAATAGTTTTATGAATCATCTTTGAGTAATATAACAATTAAAGAAGTTGTTAACAATTTTTATTGAAAGTATTTATGGCTTAATGAATCAAAAAAAAAAAAGAAATTTAGAAATTAACGTGGGTATGAATATATTATTATTGGCGAGTATGAAATATAACATAATATTTTTCTCAAAACATTACATACTTCATTATGCAACTATTATGAACAAATATCAATAATACATCATCATATTCAATGAATTTTAAATCCCTAATACAATATATTTATATATATTATCATAGTATATTAAAATGTAAAATTTAAAAAAAAACAATATTACAATCTACTGAGTAGTAGTGCAATATTATCATACTGATCTTACGTATTTCATCCATTACCATAATATTAAAGAATTTTGTGAATTTATATTACATCTATAATAATTATATTAAATAATAACAGTTAAAAAATAGTACAAAAGCATTTTTAAACTATTATTACTAAACAATAAAATATTAAATCATATTTTCGTAGTTCATACACTATTTCAAGTTTAATTACTTTCATAAAATAATATACTAACGTAATAAACTATATTTATTTTAAAAGTTTTGAATGATGAAGATTATAAATAAAATTAAATCCTAAGTGACATATATGCTAATATTAATACTAATTAAAACATAGATTAATTAGAATGATAATTTCAAGACAGTCATTATTTAAAAAATGGTTATACATTTAAAAAAAATTAAAATACATACTAATCTAATTTTTTATAAATGAAACCTTAATTGTGTATGCTTTTATTCGTAAAAAGAATCACTGTAATTTTATTTTTTTATTTTAAATAAAAAATTATATTTTTAATTTTATGTCGAAACAGAATATTTTGATAAAAATATTGGCTAGTTAAGTAGTAAAACACAAATCATTTCAAGGAGTACCCCTAAATATTCTACTTTTATTTTCAAAATACTTTTTATTTCAATACTATAAACTAAATAAACCAAGGTAGGTATCTAAAACCATATATCCGATTGATTAGACCAGGGGTCGGCAACCTTTTTAACCACACGGGCCATTATTTTTTTT